ATGTTCAGCTTTATAATGTTCATATTCAGCTCTTATAATACCCTGTGATGCATTTCTGAGTGAGCAACAGGTATAAATGGATGATTTTGAATATTCAGCACAAACAGTAGATTTCCAGATCAGAGAAAGAGACTTAGGACCTTGAATCTGGTCTTCAGGGCCCTAAGCCCTGCAGTGCAGAGTGCTCAGCAGCTTTCACTGACTTGAAGAGCCAAACAAGGATGTGTTAGATTTGCTTTCCGAAGACAGCTGTGCCCAGCTGTGCAGTGTGCCACTCAAAGAAAACCAGTAACACCAAATTCAGTCCCTTTTGTATGTACACACACAGAGACACTTACTCGTCTTCGAGCAATGGATAAAATGCTTCCCCACCAACATCTTTCAGTCTCTGAAACGAGAACAAAAATAATTCAGTATCACAATACTGCTTAGAATTCAAGTGAAAATACTCAGTGGAATATGAAGACTATTAATTAGCAATGCATTTGCCAAACTTAGTAACTTGAGACCTTAGCTCAGTCCTCTATCAGCAAAGAAACAGAGCCTTTAATGCTAAAATCTTTTGCTAATACAGGCTTTTTGTGTTGAATGAAGTTCTTCTGCTTGAAGGTAACAGTCACCTGATTCATAAACCTATTTCCAGACAAAAAATAGATTCCATGGGCCATGGATTAATAGATCAATAGTATTACATAGTTCCTTTTCATTTCCTTGTTTTTCTACACGGACTTCTCCAAGTAGCTGTAAAGCAACTGCACAACTTGGGTTTGTTTTTAATCAGTTCAAGAGGTGGGCAAATGAGAGTTGCTTTCCGTAGCAGCATCTGAAAGCTGCACAGGAACAGAGAGACTCTGTGGGAAGGTGACAGCCAGCCATGCCTGGACTGCTGCCTGAAGTTTTCAGACACCTTCAGAGCACCGTGATTAATGTTTTATGCCATTCTCCCTGCACTGCTCTGTTTTGCAATCCAATCCCAAACTGAAAGGCACGTGGCACACCACCTGTTCCTCCTGGGACTGACAGAGCGCTTCATTCGCAGTTCATTCAGCACTGATCCCCTTTTGCTTACAAGCACCACTCTGCTCTGCGAACGGCGTTTGAAGAACTGCCCGAGTTCAGAACTTCATTTCAACTAACACTGCAAGGTTCAGGCTTGTACCTCTCCCCAAATGAAACTTCTGCATGTGCTTATTTGCTGCTGCGTTCATAGAAGTAGAGAGCAATATCCAAAATGACAGATCAAAGTTTTTAAAAAGCTTTTTAAGTCTTTTTAAGCCTACAAAAAGCCACCCTTCCATAGGAACAACAGTAAGACCTGCAGTATTACCTTTAAAACAGCTGTTGCATATTTTTAACCTCCTCCCTGCCCCCCAAACCCCACCAAGCAAGCAAAACAACCCAGTTCTTTGGTCTGTTTTCATGCATTCGTGTGAAGTAATGCAAAGTTCTACTGAAGAAACACGTTTACAAAGTATTTGACACATTGCTCCCAGAATTCAGGTAATGGTGGCAGAGAGGGAGACTCCAGGAGTCACCCTCCTTTCTGTAACCCCTGTAATCATGTGGAATGTTTTTTATAAAGACTGTGACAGAATTGCATTCGCTATGATAAAAATCAAGCTGCAAACAGTGCAGCATAAAGTGCTAATTCTACAGCAACACAGCTCTACGTGTGCAAAGGTGTGAACAATCACAACATTTCAGTGACAGATGCAGTAAATCTCGTAACTGATCATTTAGCCAGGCAAAAGTAAAGTTATCCTATGTTGATTTTCCCACCCAAGTTGGAAGAAAATCGCATTACTGCACTGGGCAAAATGCTTTGAAGTGATCTTTTGAACTAGTTAAACAGCTCTATATTCCGAAGATTAGGAATTAACTACTGGAAACTGGTATCCTTAGGCGTAAAGCCTTTAAGGAGCTACAACGGAATGGAGTTGATCTCTAAGACTGTGAGCCACCTACAGACAGGATTTAAAGAATGCAAGAAGACACTTGCTGTCAAAACACTTCGGCAACCCTGGAGATTATCAGGTACCACAGACTACATGGGCTACACCAATACACAGCAGGTTACAAGAATAAGGAAAGGGAGGGACAGAGGAAGGGAATGTAGGAACAGAAAAACCACATCCAATACGCTTTTGCAGACAACACCATTTAAACCTAAATCAGAATCTGACCTGGATGCCAGGAAGTGTCCTGTTGGAATCAGTACACTGACATTCGTGGGAAGAGCAGTAGGAGCTGCTGTTCCCTATTCCCTTTAAACAACGGTTTCTGCAGCGGAGACATAAGACCAAGGGCACAATCTTTTTCTTACGTTTCGGAGCTGGCACAGAGACAAAGTCACAGTGGTGTCATCTAGGAGGGAACTTCTATCTCGTCCTTGCCCAAAGCTCTCACCATCTTCTAATAAAAAGCTTCAAAAGGGAGGGGGGGGAAAAATCCTGTCATTTCATATCATGAGACTTGAGTGAGGAAAAAACTGAGAAAATTGTTACATCAATGTTTCCTCTTTAAAATACAATACTGGCTGTTAGGAGTACTCTGTATGCCAAGAGACCTGCTACCAGGGGAACATACAATCACCTTGCATTATTCAAACAGTTTTTGCTGTAAAAAGGCAGATCTCAGGTTTTCACAGAACCACAGAACGCGAGGGGTTGGAAGGGACCTTCGGAGACGATCTACTCCAGCCCCCCAGCAAAGCAGGTAACTTCTGATTTCTGTAACTTCCGTCTGAACAGAAAGGAACAGTCACGAGATATGGGTACGGGATTGATACTCCTCTTTATGCCTTGACCTGGCCCAAGACAGGGCGAGGGAGGAGATTCTCCCCCTCTGCTCTGCTCTGGGGAGACCCCCCTGGAGTGCTGCGTCCAGCTGTGGCGCCCCCAATATCAGAAGGATATTGACCACTTGGAGCGAGTCCAGAGGAGGCCACGGAGATGATCAGAGGGCTGGAG